ATATAACGATTATGAGAGTCTATTACTTGATATTTTACACACACACACACACACACACACACGGCCTTCGGCCACCCCCCCGCACCCATACTGTTACAGAGCTCTGCCCCGACAGTACTATCATAGCAACAGTATAATCGTAGAAGTCCTGTGCCCCTGTGCAGGGGGGGGGGGAGTTAATAACTTTTTAACGAAGGACGAGCGACAGGAATGGTCAATGACCTTGACCTTCTTGAGGGTCAAGGTCAAGGTCACTCGGAAGTCATTTGAGGTTGACTGTGTAAAGCGAAACATTTACCCAGTAGGTTTCACTACTGTTAAAAATAATTTCAACGCTTAATATCTCAAAAACCATAAGAGTCCGCCACCTAGTTATTAAGGCAAAGTTGCTCAGAATCATGACCTTGACAACATATGTCAAGCTCAAGGTCATCGGAGCTGGGTCCCCTATAGTGCATAATTACCTTAGAAACTACTAAACCTTCAAACATACGTGTCAAAATTTTAGCTCAATCGGACGTCCACTTTACAAGTTACAGTGACGCTACTTTTGCATTTTTCAAAACAATGGAAAAATCTGAATTTCGTGTGTTGATAAAGCATTGCTTCCTGATGGGAAAAAATACAGTTCAAGCAAAGCAATAGGTGCATCCAGAAGCATGATCGCTCACTAAGCGCTCAATGAGCTTTTTTATCTAATTGGCATATTCCATTAGATCTAAAAATATAAATCAAACGGGTACAAGAGCTTACTGAACGCTCAATGAGCGGTCGTGCTTCTGGATGCACCCATTGAATTGATAAGTGTTATTCGGACTCTGCTCCGTCGGAAACAACAGTTAAGAGGTGGTATACTGACTGTAAACGCGGTCGTAAAAACACAAATGATGCTGAACGCTCTGGTCGCCCAAATTCGACAAAAGTAGCGTCACTTAAACCACTGTAACTTGTAAAGGTCCGATTGAGCTAAAATTTTTACACGTATGTTTGAAGGTTTAGACTTTAGTACTTTCTAAAAATCATATTGCTTTGTTATTAGTGCGCCATCTCTTATATCAAGCCCGGGACTTATTGAGTGATGTGTTATGTGACACCTATTGTTATCTTGTAACCATGAAATAAGGGTAAGGAGACTTAACTAGATAGGATATGGAGAAAAAAGTTGGTCACGAAAAATGTTCCGTGTACTGCCATGTCCGCCGAACGGAATAACTTGCAACATTTCATCGCCATATTGAATATTTATATGTGTGCAGTATACTTGCGACTGTGTACACGTATGTGTACACATATACATAATATGGTAATTATACAGAATCACTCAAGCAGCTTAAAAATCGATCAAATTAGGCTTATTCGATGCGTTTTTGCATGAAACGAAAGAATCTGGCAGAAATAAGCGTCGCTCTGCCCTACGAACCGAGATATTTAATGTTAAAGTTGACGACTATTCAGGTTAGGAAATCTGTCTTACCGATTACATGTAGTGCTACGAGTATGCCTTCTTTACGGTGTGGGTGAAAAACACGCACGCACGCACGCACGGGCGGGTGTAAGGGGGTGGCCTTCGGCCACCCCCCCCGCACCCACACCGTCGACAGAGGTCTACCCCGACAGTATAATCGTAGAAGTCGTGTGCCCCTGTGCAGGGGGGGGGGGGGGGATTCAACGTTTCTGAACAGAGAAAGGTGTAGAATTTCGTGTCTGACAACAATATATTTCCTGACATGGAATGGAGAGTTTGTTTTGACGGCTCATAACTGTCTACTTATTACTCCTACATTTTCAAACATCACGAGAGAATAACAAGATTTAAAAAAATATCTTCTAAACATTTTAATATGTTTAAGAATATTTTGAAAAATATTAGTCACTTTTTTCGCGCATTTTAGAATTAGAATAATGTTAGTATTCTCTTTAATATGTTAACATGACATTTCGGAAACATATCAAGACGCGAAGAACGACGGCAGAAAGGCCATAAAATCTACTTATTACTCATGCCCTTTGTTCATACAATTTCCCTTCCCCCGCAGCGAAGAATGCCGCGATTTTAGTTTCTCTCAATTTTCCCATTCAACATTTTGTTGAATTTACACATTATCAATCCCTCTCTTCAACGGCACACTCTCTTTTTTTCCTCGCCAATCTTAGAGCGGATTAGTATAGACAGAGGAAAGTGGTCAAATTGTGCGCAATGGGTAATTGTGCACATCCTGGTTTGATACTGTTCCAATAGATGAAAACATCATTGTGGTGAAATTTTTACGCAGGAAGTCGTTCTCTTTAAGTTATAACCACAAAAGATACGATGTAAGTACATTCATCAATTCGAGTTCATGCGGTTATCGTTTGGCCTTAAAATCGGATCTCAGTTGTTTCAACGTTTCGTAAAGGAAGCTTTAGCGGAACTAATAAGCAACGTTGTTGTTTATATGGATGAAATTTCAATTGCTATTAAAACATTAGAATTACACCTTGATGTCTTAAAAGAAGTTTTCATGATTTTAGTTAGCAATAAACTTGAATTGAAGCTGGAGAAATGTGCTTTTTTGTATACAGAGGTAGAATATTTGGGATACAAGGTGACATGCGAAGCGATACAACTCACAAATAGAGATATTATATGTCTCTGTGCAGAGTTTCCCCGAACCCAAAGAAGTTTATCTTTTTGTCGGACTAGCCTCATACTTTCGAAGAATCATTAAAGACTTTTCAGTTATTGCTCGATCGCTATATTACCTTCTTAAAGAAGAAGCTGTTTTCAGGTTTGAAGATAAAGAGTGATTCGCGTTCGCAACGTTGAAAAATAAATTAATAGAAGCAAATGTGAAATGGAGAACGTTTGTTTTGACATCCTATGGCTGTCCACATATTACTGTTGTCATTAGTATTATATTAATTAAGATTAAGTTTATCTTGATACGTTATGAATACGGAAATTTGAATACTGCAAATGTTTTAATATCATCAATCGTCTTAAAAACAATATGAAATAAAACTTACAGGCGTTGATAAATCTGTAAATACCGCTGAAAATATTCGGCAGCGTGACATTTTTGTCGGTGTAGAAACTGAGAGCAATTCCTTGATAAAGAGAGACCCGTCTACGTGGTGGAATTGGTCCACAGAATCGTCCACCAAACGGTGTCTCTATTAACTTAGTCGTGTTCTCCGATCGTATTTCCGAATAAATATCCAAATATTCATGAACACAGCTGAAAAGGAGAGTATATCACAAAACTTTTAGATTCATTCTTTGTACGTTTAAATTGAAATTTGTTTACATTTAATAAATGAAAATAGATAATAAGAATTGCATTAAATATAGAATTAAATATAATTACGAATAAGTTTAAATTTATGAAAATTACCATCATTACTTCAATAAATAAAAACAGTTTCTAAATAAATTTTCGCCGACAAAAAAGTTTAATGCTAAAAACGTTTGAATAAAGTTATATACTTTATTCAAACGTTTTTGACATTATATAAAGGGTAAATATGCAGTATGAGGGAGTACCCTCCAATGACCTTGATTTTAACACATGTTGTCAAGATCATGATCCCAAGTGACCTTGAACAAATATTAGCCGTCGCTCGTTGTTCGTTAAAAATTTATCAACAAAAAAAGTTTATCAATGAAAGTGGGAAGTGGAATGAAACTCACTTCGCGTAAAAACTGAAAAGTTGAACGTTCCTAAATAGGATGAAGTGTAAAATAATATTTAATATTGTATACGTATAGCAAAAATATAACGTAATTTCTAAAACTTCTTTTATTAATAACTTTTTAACGAATAACGAGCGACGGTTAAAACTTATTGGAAATCACTCAGGGTCGTGACCTTGACAATACATGTCGAGGTCAAGGTCATCAGAAGTGAATCCCCTATACTAAATATACCCAACTGTAACTAATCACTTTTAGAAATTGTCTCATTCCCATTTGCCACTCAGAATTTATAGTATAAAAATATCATAAGGACATCAGAAATCATATAAATATTTCGATTTCATTCTTTATGCTTTTTTCAATCCAATGTAGACTTCAATCTAGGTTGAACTTACTCTTCATCTTTTTCTAATTTTTAGAACTAGAAAACAATGAAAAATAAGTTAGGTAAACTGTGTGATATTAAAGTTAATTTACATTGGTAAAAATTAACATTAATTTAGTATATTTTCCTCTAAGGAATGCATATTATCAGCACCTAACATTCATTTTATTTTTAGTTTATATATAACTTATTACATTAAATGACAAATAGCAAACTTTTTATAAATTTATCAATACTTACGCAGGTAATTCTCCCACAGCAGATCCACTACAGGAAAAGTATGCAAACAATTCACATATATATTATATATATATATATATATGTATATGTATATTGGACAATGTATATTATATACACACTCACAGGCAAAAAAATTGGGCCACTAAATTTTTAGCAAATATTTTAAATATTTTTGAATAACGGTAACTCAGCGAAAAATCATTGTATCGAGATTCTTAAAAAAGCATTTTAAAGCTTGAAATCTTTACTATTCGTATCGGTATTTCAAAAAACGGTGTTACTGATATTTTGTGAAGTTACGCAAACATAAGTAAAGATGTGTCTAACCTTAAAATTTTTTACAAATTTTGAGAAGTTCTACGACGCGGACTAAAAATTGTGCACAAATGCGGTTTACAGCTTTCGAATGAGTCAATATTTACCTTTAATTTGTTTTTTTATCGACGTCTGTTTGATTTTTTTTTTTGTTGCAAAAAGAGGCATTTTTACTTCAACGTTGAATAACTCGGTGAAAAAAAATCATACAGAGGTCGATAAAAAAGCAAATTAAAAATAGAGATTCACTCTTTCGAAAGCTGTAAAAGACATTTGTGCATAATTTTTAATGCGTGCTGTGCAACTTCTAAAATTGAAAGAATAATATTGCTATAATATTACATGCTTTATGGAGTTCTACGATTACAAAGTCGACTGTAACTAAATTTTTATGACCCTTATCTATGTATATAATACTTACAACTAACTAAAATTTGTTATGTTAATAAAGATTTAGATATCCATATGTAATAACTAAAAATAAGTAATAAATATAAATACACATACATAGATTATTGATGCTGTAAATCTTTTTTTTCTGTGGGTCATGTTTTTAAAATAGCGACTGTGTAGTGAATGCAATCTTACCACACTTATTTTAGGTAAATATCTAGAAAAGGGGAAACCCCCCGATGATCTTGACCTTGATATATGTTGTCAAGGTCATAACCCTGAGTAACCTCCCGCAGGTTTTAGGTGGCGGTCACTGTCCGTTAAAAAGTTATTAACAAAAAAAGTTTCAAAATTAACGTATCATTTCTGCCATATATGTATTATAACAAGTACTATTTTACATCTCCTTCTGTTTAGAAACGTTAAACTTTCCACGCGAAGTAACTCTCACCTCCCCCAACCCCCTGCGAAGGGGCACACGACTTCTACGACTATACTGTTGCTGATTGTACTGTCGGGGCAGACCTCTGTCGACGGTGTGGATGCGGGGGGTGGCCGAAGACCACCTCCTTGCACCCGCCAGTGTGTGTGTGTGTGGGTGTGTGTGTGTGTGTGTCGCGCGGGTGTGTGTGTAGTGTGTGTGTGTGTGTGTAAAATATCAAGGGTGAAGGTAAAGAATATCCCGCTCATCTAAAAAATCGATAAAATTAAACTTATTCGACGCGTTTTTGCATGAAACGAAAGAATCTGGCAGAAAAAAGTGTCGCTCTGCCCTACGAACCGAGATATTAAGTGTTGAAGTTGACGACTATTCAGGTTAGGAAATCTGTCATACCGACTATGTAGCACTGCTTCCTTCATGCTCTGTGACCTTTTGGGCATGCGTTTAGCCACGAAATTAAAAATCATATTAAAAAATGAATTTAGTGATGTGAGATAGCTCTTGTTTCGCGTAGAAAGTCGAAACCGACATGCAACAGTACAATTATAGAAGTCGTATGTGTAGATACAGTAGGTTCCGCCCCCCTGCGGGGGGCTCCACGACTGTTAAAAATAACTTAACCCAACCCATTCAGTGGTATGAGATAGCTCTCGTTTCGCGTAGAAAGTCGAAACCCACGTGCAACAGTACAATCATGGAAGTGTTTTCGCATAGAAAGTCACATGCCTGTACTGTTGCACGTTCAACTTTCTACGCGAAACAAGAGCTATCTCACACCACTGAATGGGTTGGGATAGGTTATTTTTAACAGTCGTGGAGCCCCCCGCAGGGGCGTGGAGCCCCCCGCTTACTGTATCTACACATACGACTTCTATAATTGAGCTGAGGCAGCTATTCTGTATAATTACCAATAGTACTTAACATCATACATATATAACTGAAATAATACGAGTAACTAATTCATTTTTTAATATGATTTTTAATTTCGTGGCTAAACGCATGCGCAAGGAGGTCACAGAGCATGAAGGAAGCAGTGCTACATTGCGTTTTCGTACGTATCACTTTCTTTTCATCCAAATAATCAATAAGATTTCGAAAGTTATGTGTTTTAGATGAATAAATTCGTGAAGTAACATCGTGACAGCACAAAGTGAGAAACAGTACTGATTGTGAATATAGCACAATAGTAACCTTGCATTGATTAAATGTAATCAAAATAAACCGAGGAACAAAGCATGAAGGAAAGTGGGATGAGAATCGCTTCGCTTGGAAGTCACACTGTACAATAGAAATAAAATGTAATTTTTCAAACTTTTTTTGATCATAACTTTTTAACGGACAGCGACCGCCACCTAAAACCTGCGATAGGTCACTCAGGATCATGACCTTGACAACATATGTCAAGGTCAAGATCATCGGCGGGGGCTCCCCTTTTCTAGATATTTACCCTTATTTTATTATATTTATTTCATATAGTTTGTTGAAAAAAGCGAGACTAAGGCTGCGTTCGGAAATATCACTCGAGTACTGTGTATCGTCTTATCTTTGTTTAACATTGAATGGACAATAAGGATAAGATGATACTCGGGGAAACCTGGGTAACATTTCCGAACGCAGCCTAATAAAGATGGATACGTTATTTTGTGATTCTGATTAAAAAAATCTCCAAAATAATGAAAACAAAGACTCACTCTGGTGGTTTACCCCGAAGGCCAAACGACGTAAAAATTAACTCTACACGCTGACGCGGCCCTGCAAGAAACGTATAAACGCATTGACGTGGCTCTTCTTCAGGGTTGATCAACATCGGTGCGTGAAAGCTTCCGTTCAGCGGTCCATCAGGAGTGCTTACAAATTTTTGATCACATTCTGAAAATCGAGAAAAGTTATTTATTTTAAGAAATAAATAAAAAAATAAATGACTCTCAATATTAAAAAATAACAATTGTGTGATATTAAAAGCAATACGAGTCAAAAAAGTAATAAATATTCGAAAACTAAACTATAATAAACATTAATAAATACTATATAATTTAATAGAACTAACAAAAATATACATAAAAATTCTATGTATATTTTTGGTAGTTCTATTAAATTATTTAGTATTTATTAATGTTTATTATAATTTCGAATGTTTATTACTTTTTTTACTCTTATTCACACAATTGTTATTTTTTTATTTATTTCAATTTATGTGAATTACTCCGATCAATTCGTTCGTGAGTCACGTAGGCATAATCTTTTGCAATTAGATTAGACATCAAAAAGGAGATAATGAAAAAGAACGTACTTGGTGTTTTGACAGTAATGAGTCTTCCCGGTGATGGTGGCAGTGATGAAAAATAGTCTTGTGGTTGTGGTGTATCAAATATCTCGCGGGCTGAATGGAGGGATGGTGCGATGATTCAAAGATCCCACGACAATATTCACAACCACCGGGAACACACCACACCAAATATAATCGTGTAAATGATTTTAATAAAACAAATGTAAATATTATGTCGCGCGCTTGGCTTAGCGCCAAGACACTTCTGTGTCTCCAGATACAATTTATTTATACACAAGGTGGTGCATTTAAATCATACAACTTATTATCTCTGGAAATAAACACAAAATATTTTATTACAGATAAAAGTTGTATGATTTAAAGGGAAGTTAGAAAGAGACAAAAGATATAGATATTAGTTTGACTTAAAGCGTGTCAAAATTAAGTGTGGTAAAAGTTTCAATTAGGGGACCAAGCTCCAATGACCTTGACCTTGACCTATGTTGTCAAGATCATGACCCTAAGTGACCTTGAACAAGTTTTAGCCGTCGCTCGCCCTTCGTCAAAAAGTTATTCACAAAATAAGTTTGAAAAATAACGTATTATGTACTTGTTGTATACCACTGCGATTGTTTCCACGCGAAATGAGCCGCCTCACACCAATAAATGGGTTGAGTTAGGTAATTTTCAACAGTAGTGGAGCCCCCGCAGGGGGGTGGGGGCGGAACCTACTGTTGAAAATAACCTAACCCAACTTATTTGTTATTTTTCAAACTTTCTTTGTGAATAATTTTTTGCGAGCAAACATTTCTCGTTATGGGGACACACGTGAAAAACATTATATATATACTATTTTGCCGAATTCTTATTTATATAAAAGAAAATTTTGACGAAAGAATTGATACATTTTTTTAAATTATGAGTATGATGTATCCATTAGATGCTTTAAATATTGAATAAAACTGTGCCGAAGTAAGACGCTATTTACGCTTTTTTTTTACTTCACCGCTCTGGTCTGTAGGCTCCTAAGTACAGGAGATTGCTAGTGCTGTAGGCATTTCGATTAAACGGGTACATAATATTTTGCATCAACATTTAAGCGTGAAAAAGTTATCCGCAAGATGGGTGCCGCGATTTCTTACAGTTGATTACGAACGAAATTGTATTTCAAGGTTTGCAGTTGTTTCAGTGGAATCCACAGGACTTTAGAGTAGTTGTTAGACGGTTTGTGAGTAGTTGTCATTCTACTGCCCAAGAGACAGACGTATCAATAGAGTATGAGTGGTCAGCAGAAACCTTTCTTACGTGAATAGTTCGATGAGGTTTTACAGAAATGCTACCAAATTTGACTGTGGTCTTACGAATTTTTTTAATGAGCGTGAGTGTTGCCACTTGTAAATGAAGCTTTTCAAAATTAAAGCTTATTAAAACTTATCTTCGTTTAACAATGAGTCAGATGCGATTAAAAAATTTGCGTTGCTGTCTATTGAGAAGAAAATACGCGTGCACAATGTAATTCTTTCATCCCGCAACAAAAGAAACGACACTATAACTTGATGTTAAAGTTAAATTAGCTTATGGTCTATCTTATAAACAGATGTGTACCGACGTATCCCAATTTCATATTTAAAATTATATGATAAGAAAGAATAAAAAAGGAAAAATATAAATAAAACAGATTTAGGAAACAAACATGGAACAAATATATGAAATACAAACTACAAATACACACGTGGAAAACTATATAATATTATCAATAATATAATCAGTATTATTCAAACTACGCAATTTGCAAAAGAAAATCATAAGAATTTTATTTTCACATTTGTATAATTTATTTTTAGAGCTGATTTTTATAGAACCAGCCACAAATATATGAATTGTGAGTTTTTACTTTTTTAATCTAAATAAATCATGTTTTTATTAGTACTAATAAAGTTTTGTAGTTAATTTCTAAGAAATAAGGAAGTATCTTTTTAGGAGAACTATCTCAATTGATGACTTTCCTCAGAAGTCCTTTAATCTCAAAATTTGTTATAAGATACAAAATTTGTAACTTCTACTACAAAATTACATAAGCACTCTAAAAAATTCCTAAAATATCCTGCAATATTACACTGTTGCATACATTTTGTAATTAATCTTGTTTATATCACAAGAAAGTGAACATTATCCAATAACCGTATCAATAATTGTGTTAATTTTTTCAGTATTAAATTCGTGAAACCTTTTAAAAGTTATTTTATGTATTTTTTACTGACCTGTGGAGTTGTGTGGACACAGTAACAAGAGTAACACGAAGACTGGTGAAAGAAAAGTATTTCCAGAGATATGCCAAAGTACTGAAGCCATATTGCATCCTGAGAAGAATCATTCATATATACTTCTCGATTATTATTGACATCTATAGACTTGTATAATATTATAATTCTTAATTAATGACATTAAAACAAATAGCATTTTGTCAAATATCTTTACCATATCGTTAATGTCTATCCCAAACACAGGAAAAACGAGGAAAGCTTATCCAAAAGATCATCTGTAATATATAATTCCATTTTAATTACTACAATTGTATGTATATACATACATACACGGTCCGCCATCAAAATCAGGACAAATTTAAATTTGAATTTTCCGCCTCATTTGACTTCGGCGATAAGTCATTGTTGACATTCGGGCAAGTCCATCGATATCTAGAATGGACTACTGATGTAGTAATAGAGTATGTAGTAATAGAGTATGTAGTAATAGAAAGACGAGTAGAGTGAGAAAATAATTGAATGATCGTTATTTCTCTATTACTGAAGCCTGATTAGTTGTTAATCCAACAATAGTGTATACTGTGACAAAGGGTGCCTATGATCAAAAGCGATAGTACGTTGTTGCACGTTTAATTAGTTACGCTGCTTGTTTATAGTGTAAAACATATATAAATATATATATTACTATCTTTTTTAAATCGAGTGCGGAGTATAACCCAAGAGCGTCGATAATAATCGAAGGCTTTCGCGCTGGGCGTTCGCAGACACCCCTGTGAAGCTAGCCCCCTTATTAAAAAAAATAATTTTTTTGAGAGTTCTGAATAGATTTCCAATAGTTCCAGAGTTTCTAATAAGTTTAAGAAATAGTTCTGGCCATTAAAGCCATAAAAACGTGATTAAAAATATGGGGGCTAACTTCATGCAGCTTATTTTCGGAAAAAATCATTTTTTTTTTTTTTTAGAATTCTGGATAGATTTTTAATAGTTCCAGAGTTCCTGACCATCCAAAAGTTAGGTCCCATCATGCGCTTGGTGGCCGATACTCCCACTCTCCACCTTCTTTCCCCAAGAAAACCTACAACTTTTATATATAAAACTTTTTCTTGTATCTCTCTTAGTTTCTGAGATATCTATTCGCCTGAGGCGATTAAAATGCCTCACTCTGTATATATATATATATATATACAGGTATATATATATATATATATATATATATTTGATACTTTGATCTGATTATAAAGAATTTATGTTTTAATTATTATTCTAATTATTTATTAATCTATACTATTTTTCAAAAGTTTGAATAATTCTCAAACATCTTATTTAGAATGTCAATTCACAAATTGTCCTATATTTCGTTAATTTCACAAATAGACAAATAATAGATTTATTAATATTTATTTAAGATTTATCTCGCTAATTGTTTCAAATGTTTTTAATCAACACGAAATGCATATTAAATAACACGGAGACACTAGAAAGTAGAACAGAGTATTATAGGATCAGAACCGCGCCCCTACGCTCGGAAAAGGATAGCGAGATGGTCAATAGCAGTAACTTCAACATTAAGCACCGCGGTTTTCTTTAATAGATTAAACAACCTACACGACACAAATATCCAATAAACATTCAATAGAATATCACAAATATTCACATTTAATAAATATCCACAAATACTTCTGACTTAATTATTTTGCGACATTTACATGTCTTATGTCCAGTAAAAGTAAGTCGTTAAAATTACAATTACACATAAAATAATATTAAAATAATATTATTTATTGATTTAAAATTTGTAATAACTATTTATTACAATTATTGTTCGGTTTAAGATGCTTTGTTACTACATGAATTAGTACTGTTCCAAAATGTCACACAATGTTTTTATAATAATTCCATATAAATAAAGTAGTATTTTCTTACTAGCAAATAATAATAATATTAACAAATATCTATAACGTACTGATTCTTCACTTTCTAATAAAGATATCTAAATTACACCAAAAATCTATTTTGTTAACTATTATTTTCTTTGTATCATCAAATTAATTTATATTTTCTTTAATTTATTCGCAAGAAATTTATTATAATAACAGTTTGTTTGATTGCAAATAAGTGTTAAATTTAACAATGAATAATAACATTAAAATTATGTCGTGATAACAATACAGTAATAGAATATATGTAGAACAAGCAATTCCTTTTAAAAAGTTAAATATATATAATCTATAGGTATCTGTGAATGTGTGTTAAATGCAAAAAAAAGAAAAAAATTACATAAGAACTTTAAACAAAATATGAAAAGCCAAATAAAAGAGATTCATAATCGATTCAAAAACGGAAATGCATCAAATTAACTGTAAGTTTTTGAAAAACTCTAAGAATTATCTGATGCATCAAATTCGTTTCGAGATTTATAATGAGTCACAATGGTGCGTTCAGCAGAAAAAATCGCTTTGCAACAGTGTAAAATTCATTAATATGATTGGCCTTGCCCTTAGTTTCTCATTGGACCTCAAACAACAGTTGCAAAGCTACTTTTTTGAACGCTGCCATTGATATCATATAATATCTTAATCGTCTATCCAATTTGCTGAGCTCACGTCGTATGTAGTGACATTTATCATAAATATCCACATCTTGTACACATATAAAATATCGTTTTTTCGAATATTACATTTTTTCAAAAATTGTTTTCTATTTACAAAAAAAACTTTTGCACAACATTTGCATATTTTTATCTCACTTCGCATTAACTTCGATTTTACTTCATAAAAATCTCTCATACCTAACGCTGTAAATCGTATCAATAGACCATATATGATCGAAATTATGCCATCTTTTTTATAATATTCCGCAACAATTAAAAAAAATTTTTTAACAAAAGAGCAAAGATTTGATAACAAAAAATAATTTTATATATTCCTAAAAAGTTATTTTCGACATTCATCGCGTCTAAAATATATATCTAATGTATAGAATTTAGTAAATATTAGATATTTCAAAACCATAAATCAAAACTGAAAAATAAAAACCAAAATTATACAAAAAATTGGGGCATGTTTAAATAATAAATATTAAGGAAATTCCGGATCCTCTTGCACATTTTTTAAATCGCATTTCCAAAATTAATAAAAATAAACTCAAAAAGACCGAACTTATTCGAATAAAAATTAACAAAATCACTATATATTTTATAAATATTCCCCAAGAGTCAACGCAAAGACGATCTTGACTTACTTTCATGATTTCGCTCGGAAGGCCTCTCTCTTACCAAAGAAACTCACCCCGTTGTGGAGCTTCTCTCTATCTCTCCTTTGGGGTATTTGCACTATTCATGCGATATTCGCACTCTCACGATTATCACAATTTTCGACCACGCACCCCTACTAGTCACGAGAACGATGGACGATGAGATGTACGCAGCGCGTAGTAATATGATTCAACAGTTGTTACAATCTCTAACGACAAACGCGATCCCAACATATCAAACGAGATATTCAGTGGTGCGACGACGAAGACACATCGAGCGACGGAGCGACGGTGCGACGGCGCAACGGCGGTGGTAGTAGCGGCAATAAAGGCCTCTGCACGTAAAAAAACGTTAACCGTAACTTTAACCTTCCCTTTGTTATTTGACCCGAATTATCTCTTTTCCAAACATCAGAAACGAAAACTGCGACCGTCAGTGCCAAAATAATGTATAAATAACCTGATAGCTTTCTTATTGGTTGGCATTTTCCAACATAACGAAATTTTTACGACTTAAAGCCCATGGCACATACAAAAACGTAAGGCCGTAAAACGTAATCAGTAAGCGAATTGGCCAATCACACAGTAGAGACCGTAAAGCCGTAATCACACTAGCGATTGCGCGATTGTGATTGACGACTGAGGATTATTTCTCAACCAATCAGAGCAAAGCAGTCACCGATTGTTTTGTTCCGATTTGTTGAGAAATAATCCTCAATCGTCAATCACAATCGCGCAATCGCTAGTGTGATTACGGCTTAAGGCCTGTAACGAATCCAATATTAAGCCAGAAACACATAGAAAAACGTAAGGCCATAAGATGTAATCAGTAAGGATATCGTAAAGCCAATTCTACAATGACCGTAAGGCTGGAGTCACATTGAGCGGTATTTACAGCGGAACGGAACAGCGAGACCAATCACAATCGCAGAAAGTAAAGCAGCGGAATGATTGTAGAGTTCTGATTGGTTTCATTATTCCGTTCCGCTGTAATTACCGCTTAATGTGACTCCAGCCTCAGGGTGCAAACCCATGCAGCGGAATAGCGTAACGCGAAACGAGAGTAGAACCAATCACGAGATTCTCTAAAAACACGAAATGCTCGTTATTGGTTCTGCTCTCGTTCCGCGTTACGCTATTCCGCTGCATGGGTTTGCACCCTTAGGCTGGAGTCACATTGAGCGAAAATCTACAGCGGAACGGAACAGCGAGACCAATCACAATCGCAGAAAGCAATGCAGCGGAATGATTGTAGAGTTCTGATTGGTTTCACTATTCCGTTCCGGGACTTGGTTAGGTGGCGTGCATGTGAGCGTATGTGTGTTGAGATGGTCTGCGATGTTTTGTACGATAATAGTTAAATAGGTCAGTTTTAGGTAAAAGAAAAGGTATGTACGTGAAGGTTTAATTGAGATTGTATAGGGTATATGGAGGAAAGGAGTTTTGTAAAGTGTAGGATAAGGAATTAGGAATGTAAGAGGTAAACAGGACAAGGAGGTTATGTTGCCAAGGGACGCGACTGGTACGGCGGAAAAGGCGGGAAAAGGAAGGACAGATTCTAGGCAAAAGTAACTGGTTACAGAGGTCAAGGATGCGGATATCACTTCGATAGGAACGAAAGAGGTGAAGAGGATGAGCCAGGAGAAGAGGAAAAGAAAATGTACGGGCAATATCAAAATTTAAGGCAAGAATGTGCAGGGAAGGATCAAGAATGGAATAATAGTGATATGATTATGAAGGAGGAAGAATACATGATCCTCGGAATATGTAAAGAATCGCATAAGGGTATCACGATCACGATTATATCGTAAAAAGTAATATCTCCTGTGTATAAGACAGAGGTAAGAAGAGAATAGTTAGAGGAAAAGGAGGTGTATTTATAAGGATTGGGCCAGAAAACGAGATTCAGATAAGGAGGCGGCAACGCAGGAAAATAACGTTGTAATAAGGTTTTCAGCGAAAGAAAAAAAGGAAAACGGTAATAGAAGTTACGAAAGTTCACAGGCCGTTTCGTAATGTAAGGCGGTGGAGAGGTATAAGTAATAAGAGGCTAGTTATGGGACATTCTTAAAAAGGTTCGGATAATTGAGAATTAAGAATAAGAAAAGGCGAGGAAGACGAGACGGAGGTAAGGAAACATGAAGAATTTATGGAGAAGAAAAGGCATGAGGCAGGAAAATAGAAGATGATGGAGAGGTACAAGTAAATAAGAGGCAAGTTATGGGACATTGTAAAAAGGTTCGTACAAAGAGGATAAAGAACAAAGAATGGAGATGAAGACGTGATGAAGACAAGGATACACGAGGACTTTCTGGATAAGAAAATGCTTAAGGCAGAATTATATGAAATGCAGATTTAGTTTTAGATATAGGTATGAATATAGTTTTTGTTACGGATTTTAAAGAGAATAGAAAAGTTGCGAGGAATAGAATGAGTAAAAGGTATGTTTAGATTAGTCGATTGATTGAGCGAGGAGTAGGATTAGGAGTGAGTTGATTATTCTGAATATAGATTTGAGTTACAGATTTAAAAGAGGTAGAAATGCTGCGAGGAAGGGAACAAGAATTTGAAAAGGATAGATATGTAAGACAAAGTAAATGAGATTGGAATATACAGGATGGTTAGTAAGGAAATTCTGTGCAAGTAGTTAAGCGAAGTAAATTTATAAAGTAAGCGTGAGTAAAAGGTATACATAGATAAGTTGATTGATAGAGTGAGCCGGAATGATTAGGATTAGAAACAGGTATGAATATAGACTTCATGTACGGATTTTAAAAGCGAAAGGGTAGCTACGAGGAATAGAATAAAATTGAATAAGGAACAGAATAGGATAGAATTTGTAAAGAGAGGTAACGAGTTAGATATATAAGTATGATTAGAGAGGTAATTTTGTGCAATTTGTTAGGTGAAATGGATAAATTAAGTAGAAAATAGGTAAGAGAGAAAATTGTAATGTATGCACGAGAGTAGGGTATGGATGGATGTGAGGATAAGTTGATAAATTGTAAACCAAGCCCCCTTCTTAGGTTTTGTATGCTTGAAGGTAATAAAGTTCTTTCTTCACTATTCCGTTCCGCTGTAATTTCCGCTCAATGTGACTCCAGCCTTAGGCTGGAGTCACATTAAGCACAGATCGGAATGACGGATCGGGTATCTCACTAGAATTGAGCATTCCGTTCCAGTTCCGTTCCGTGACAGTTTTCTCTACCCGTCCCATTTAGCAAAAACGGAACGGAATGTCGCGTCGATCGTTGGTAAATATGCTTGATTCATCGATATTTCGTTATTTTGAGCAGTTGAAGCAATAATATACATATAATTTGTGCAATTATCTTGCTGATAATATTGTTGTGAGTTCTCTAAAATATTGAATTGTAACGGTAAAATATATTTTGTAACTAGATTCCTTTCCGTTTTTGCTGAATGGGACGGGTAGAGAAAACTGTCACGGAACGGAACTGGAACGGAATGCTCAATTCTAGTGAGATACCCTATCCGTCATTCCGATCCGTGCTTAATGGGACGGCACCCTTAGGGAGGGTTCACACCTTGACGGAAAAGCGGAAAGCCGGAATCAGACTACGCATTGAAAATTGAGATTGAAGATTGGAAGATTGAATTTTGGCTAATCAAAATAATAGGAGCTAAAATTTCTTTATCCTCATTGGTCAAATTTCAATTTTCGATCTTCAATCTCAATTTTCAATGCGTAGTCTGATTCTAGCCGAAGAGCAGTTAACCGATCAAAACTCGTGTTGGTAGTAAATAGTACAAAACTAACAGAAAGTCGACTACCTGATTGGCTACTGCTTTTCCGCTTTCCGTTTTTCCGTCAAGGTGTGAACCCGCCCTTAGGGTGCAAACCCATGTAGCGGAATAGCGTAACGCGGAACGAGAGCAGGGGGTCAATCACGTAACTTTTTCTCTAGGGCGGAAACGTGAAAAGTGAAAACTTTTATGAATGTATGTATGAACATATACACACATACATGCAAAAAATTTTCACTTTTCACGTTTCCGCCCTAGGGGAAAAAGTACGTGATTGACTCCCAGGCCGGAACAGACTCTGTATTCAGGAAGACGAAATGGCTGAGCTTCTAGGCGTTCCTTTGTAGTCACGAGTAGGGGAGACCGGGTCTCGTTGGCATAAGAGGTAAGTTGGCAATGCGTTCAGTTTATGTACTTGCGGCAAAAGAAACAATGGAAAAATTACTGCAAAATATGTCTTTTATTTATAACATAGGTATTTATCCTTAAGTTTCATTTAAATCAAACCGTAAAAATTGATCAATCGTAATCGATTATTCTCCTCATGTTCAATTACGATTGGTCAATTTTTACGGCTTACGGTCAATGTAGAATTGACTTAACATTGGATTCGCTACCGACCTTAAGGTTGGATTATACTGGCCGTAATCTGTTAACTTATGCTGTAATCTGTAAAAATTGACCAATTATAATCGATTATTCCCCTCTCATTCGACTGTGATTGGTCAATTTTTACAGATTACGGCATAAGTTAACAGTTTACGGCCAGTATAAATCAACCTTTACGGTCTCTACTGTGATTCAATCCCCTCTCTCAGAGTATACGGCTATACGCATGCGCGAAACGGGAGAAAACAAAACGGTTCCAAATGAGTGCGTCCTTTTCTAGATAGAATTACCCCCACTCCTCAAATTTCCGACAATGCGTACTCTAGTACTACTATCTCTATAGTCTAGACTCTAGATATACTATGTCTATGGTATATACGTTCTTCGTTCGAATCTCGTGTTACGACAGAAGATCATCCTGATAAAATGATAGACTTCCGCACTAATTCAGGAAAAACTGACGACGACAATGGAAAATATAGCAACACCAACATACCAGGTAAACAAAAAGATCTCGAGCAACATGTTTGATATTTATTAGCTGCTCCAAACTCTTTGCTGTGATCTTTTTAACCTTATTTTGATAATTAACAAAAAATTTTCTTGGACACTGACGTACAGAACATCGACTATCGTATAATTATGTATCTCTTAAAATAATCATCACGAATGTTTATTTGCTCATTTAATTACTTAGATTTGTTACAAAGTGCGTTTCTAACCTTCTTATTGTGATTATAAATATATAGTCATAATTTCTTTTTTTTAAATATTAATGACATTTATAATTATAAGACTGTCAAAAAAAAAATATACGTAACGTGTTTACAAATTGATAGAAAATAGAGAGAGAATTATGTTAATTTTTACTGATAATGTAAAAATAATCATACACAAACTTCAGCTTCAAGGTTAGACTGTATGACAAGACGAACAAATAATCTAGGTGTAATTTAAACTAGAAATTTTAAAATTTATATATATATATTTTTAAAAATATTAGAAACAAAATCTGAATAATGTTCGTTTGATATAGAAACAGGTATATAGAAATTGAATAGTATCCATTTATATTAGTGTAAATAATTTCAATCTTGGTTGAACTTATTTTTTATCTTTTGTTTATTTTTAGAATCAAGAAAAAGATGAAAAGCTAAATTAAAATTAAATATATATGTATAATCTTCATAGTATACGTGTGTGTGTATGATGAAACTTCTAAAGCAGCCACCTAAATTACTACTTGTTTTTAATGATACGAAAAAATATTTCATATAAAAGTGAAACGGTTTTGAAGAGGACATGTTTTGGTCATGTAATTCTATTTAAAAAAATGGACCTTCATATCTTTTTGATGCCTCTATCTAGACAAAAAACAACATGACCAAAACTGTCTTCCTCGAAGAAACCGATCCACTTTCATCTGAAACATTTTTTTGTATTATTAAAAACATTTTTTTTGGTATTATTTAAAACAAGCAAGTTATTCAAATGGCCTGTTTCAATTGCCTTGCCCTGTATATAGAAACAAACATAAAATTTTCTTTGCTTATTTGTGTAATAAAATTAATATGCCTTGTTATAATGCATAAAAGATAAATAAAAATTTATAATAAACAGAGTTAATGAGTTACAAATAAGTTATGAATAATAGTAAAGTTACTCCTGATATCTTACATAGCTTGTTAAAAAAAACTTTAATTTTATATTTTAGTTACGTCGCAACAAGGTTTAGCTTCACTTAGCCCATATTTAAATTTTGATCCATCGTATCTTCCCGTCAGTCAGCCGGAATTCATATTTCCCGATGGTGCTATGAAACAAAGAGGCCGCTTCGAGTTAGCTTTCAGTCAAATTGGAACTGCATGTATAGCGGGTGCAGGGATTGGTGGTGCATCAGGTTTATACAGAGGCATCAAGGCGACATCTATTGCTGGCGAGACTGGCAAACTCAGAAGAACACAGTGTGTTATTATTTTTATATTCCTTTTAATACTTATAAATTGTGCATATATGTACCTTTTTTCCAGATTGATTAATCATGTTATGAAAGGTGGTGCCAGTATGGCAAATTCGCTCGGTGTGATAATGATAATGTACACCTGTGCTGGAATAGGTCTGACTTGGGTCAGAGGAACCGACGACAGTTTGAATACAATAGTCGCAGCTGCTACAAGTGCTGCAGTATTCAGATCGCCTGGTATGGAGTATGATTCTGTACATATTATACTCACTTTCTACATCAACATAATTCAAAAATTATAATTACTCGTAAAAAAGAAAGAAAAACATTTTAAAAAATCTACTTCAAAAGTACATACTTTTATTTTTCTACAATAATGTTATTGCATTTTTAAAATTAAAATTAATGGTTGAAAACATCTAAACTTATTTTTTGAAAAACTTTTTTTTTATTTATTGTAATAATTGAATAATACATACTAAAAGTTGTTATAATAAATGAGTAATAAATATATATATTAAAAGTTATACAGTCTCTCTAGTAAAAGTTTGGCAGGCCTATCTAAAAAAAAAAATGGCTTATTAGCCTTAAATTTATATTAATTGTATTCAGTAGGATTATGGCCAAAATGCAATTATATTATAATAAGGAGTCCAGTCACCAGCTGCGTCTGTAATAAAATACTAAAGAAATCATACATTCATGATAATAGAAACCTCCAGATTCGTCGAATTTCGTTTTTTAAGCGCTTCGAAGTTGATGTCGGTCTTCCACGAAGCTTCCTCTTGATGAGTGACCATACATTTTCAATGGTATTTGCATCGGATGATTGTAAAGGCCAGTGGAGTGTCTCGATGTCATTTCCCTCTTTCCAGGACGTGCAGAACCGGCTTTGGTGTTTGGGGTAATTATCCTCCTGGAGTAACCAATCTTTATCTTTACTGATAAACCAGCATTGGGCAGACGGAATCAAAGCTTTTTGGTATATATTTTTAACATTTTCTCAGCATTCAGGTTGTCAAAAAAGAGATAAAGCCTGCTTCAAAACGAGATGCTTAGGCAGCACTTTTTGAAAATCGTTTATTCTAACACAATTCAAGCAACAACGGGTATTTTGTTTATAATGCATGCAGCATAAAGTGATATTTATCGGCTAAAACAAAAATTCCGAGTATATCTTTACTCGACTGTGGGTAAGCCTTGCTACGTTCTTACTAGACAGATTGTAGTGGAAAGTATGCCTTGAAGATGCCAATCTGTTACAGACGCAGTTGGTGACTGGACTCCTTATTAATATAATTACATTTTGGCCATAATCCTACTGAATACAATCAATATAAATTTAAGACTAATAAGTCATTTTTCTTCGAGATAGGCCTGCCACGCTCTTACTAGACAGACTGTATTTCTTATAATAAAGTGAAGTGTGTTTTTTTAATTTTAGCTGGAATCAGAAAAGCTGGTATTGCAGGCGTTATTGCAGCAGGGATTGCAGTGATGTACTGCACCTGGAATAATGGGGGCATATCATTGCATCGTGTGAATAGATTGAAACATGCGGCGTAAGAGTGTGTACATATTTCAACAAATGATTTAGCTAAATTGCAATTATAATCGAATATTTTGCTATATAAAAACTATATAATAATTCTTAGATAACAAAAACTCCTGTACAATTCAAAAACAGACTTGGAAAGAAAAGGGCACTAGAAGTCAAGCGCAGATAACTTTACGCAAACGCCGATATATATCAAGCAAAACTTATTTATTATAACAATTGTGCTTACATGTTTCGCTCATTTTTTAGCCTTCTTCAGAGACAATGTAAATTACATAAATAAATTATAAATTAAAAATAATATAAAGGATCAAATGATGTTTAATCATAGTGAGCTCCCCCACAACCGAGAAATCTAATGTCAATTTCATCTTACAGAACACACTAATATGAATAATTAAAGAAGAAGAGAAAGAAATAAATAGAAAGCTGAAATTCTGGGAAAAAAATATAATTTCCCAGAATTTCCTAGAAAAATAATTTCGAAAATAGATTTATCATAATTACAATTATTTTACCGGGAGTGAGGAGGCTCACTATATTCATAACGATACCGTATCGCAAACATTCTCAAAACCGGTCTTCAGAATAATTTAGGCCAATCAGTCTCAGACACAGTGTATGACGGTATTAAATTGAAATTATCGAAATACAAATATCAAATGCTAAGACTCAGCTACTGTGCACAAACGAGACTGACTATTTTGCTATATATTTCATTACTGCTACTGATGCGCCGCAACAATCATATCGATCAGTGTTATAATGTTAAAAAAAAGTTGAAATTTTTACGTTATATAACATTTTTATATCTATCTATAGTATATACTTTTATATCCAAAAAAAAAATGCAGTAAGAACATATACTAAAAATATATATATATATATATATATATATATACGTTCGTGCGTGCGTGTACATCAATTATAGCGTTTTTCATTGGCAGAGCTAGTGCGCACTCAGTGTACTTTAATACGCTATCTTTATACACAAATCGACATAGAAATATATGTTTAATAAAAATTAAAAAAAGAGTAAAATCATAAAATCTTCAATATATTTTATTGTGTTATTTGACAAAATACACAATAGGCATTTTATCAATTGAGATATCTCACTTTAACATTAGATTAGAGTAGTGTATAACGATTTTAATGTGCACTGAGTGCGCACTAGCCTTGCCAGTGAAAGACGATATCAGAATGTTAAAAGGGTCATGCGCAATTTTTTTAAATTAAGGACCATTTAAAATCTTGCGGGCCGCAAAATATCTATTTTGATAACCCATATATGTTTACATAACTATATTACATATATCTACGTGTGTACGTACGTGTAATATAATATATGTAATAAACAGGGTTAGGAAAATTATTTTATAAGTTACTTTTTTTGGTTGTCTTATATGTTTATTATAGAAATTGAGTACAAAAAGTAATACAAAATTAAAGCAAATGATAAAATATAATATAAAAAATAAAATACGTGAATTAATTATACTCAATTTTCATAATAAAAAGTAAATTATAACTACTACATTATACTTACAACTATACATTATACTTACATTATACTTACAATTTATAAGGTAACTTTCACAACCCGGGTAATAAACAAATACCATAGGTCCAGTATTCAGAATCCAGTATCCAGACAGGAACAGTATTCAGAACGTGATTTTATTGATAAAAGCGCGTTTTTATCTCTGAAATTCTATAGATGCGTGACGTAAACTATAGCATGTTATAACGCTAACATCGTTGTAAGCGCGTTCTAAATACGGACATATGTATATAGCCATAATGTATATATAAGGGTATTTCAGAATTTGCGGATATGGCTTATACAGCGTGACTGTATATAAGTTAAAAAAAGCAATTTTTTTTCTCTGGCAAAATTGCATTCGAACAATATTTTCTAAATGAGCAATTTTAAGTTAACGAATAAACAATCCCTATATTACACACAGATCAGGAGTAGTGCGCGCGCGCACACACACACACACACACATGAGCCGCGCTCATTTGTTAACTTAAAATTACTATCAATTAAAAAATACTGTTTAAATTTTGTTAGAGGAAAAAGTTATTTCTATTGGTACATACAATTACATACAATTCCTAACACACTGAAAAATTTCATAAAAAAGGGTGAAGATAAATTAGAACACACAAAAAATCAGAATGTGGTTTACAAGATTTCTTGTAATAATTGTGATGTTAGTTACGTAGGACAAACAAAAAGACAGTTAAAGACAAGACTGCATGAGCATATTTCAGATATTAATAGAGGTTCAAAATCTCCATCGGTAATTTCTAATCACCACATTGAGAAAAATCACGATTTTAAATGGGATAATGTGGAGATATTAGATATAGAATCTTCATGCAATAAAAGATTGATATCTGAAATGGTACATATTAAAAAACAAATACATGGTATAAATAGACAAAACGATATGGAGTCATTACCAAATCTGTATTCTAACATCATACATTCTCTTTCTCCTTCCTAATATCTTCCTTCTGTCTCCCCTCTTTTTTACCATTTCTCCTTCCTCATTATCTTCCCGTTTTAACATTACATCACATAAAGCCGTCAAGTTTAGATGTGTCCAATTAACGATATTTAATTATTTGCAAAATTGTTTATTAAATTGTACCATCAAAAAAATGGACGACGAAAAATACGCTTCTCTCATCTTTTTTTTTTAGTTTGACTAAGGTACACTTTTATACATATATAATTAGAAATTTATGCGACTTAATTTTAATTTTTATTTCATTACCATTACTTACAAAGATGGTCTTTTTTAACGCTTGATTTACAACATTGAACAGATTGAGAAATGCGGAATCAGAATTACAACGATCTAATTATTAGATATTATTAGTTGATTATTTTAATTAAAATTTTTTGTAGAAGCTATTTTTGTAAATTTATCACCGTTTTAAAGATTTTTTAAATGTAACATTGAGAATGACCCGATCGAAGTCGAAACGTATGTATTATTTATTTATTTATCATATTAAATTTCTTTGTTACCATATTTACATATGGTTATTATTATTTTTTAAATTTGAATTGATTGTTATTACTGACTCTTTGCCCTTATTCTATTATATTTTGTTTTATACACATAGAGAGCCTTTTAATTTATTATATTTACATACAATTACGTTATACACTCTGTGAATAATGTAATATTTTTGTCGAAATTTATAACAGTTACACCATATAACAATATTCTTTTACATCGTAGAAAAAAATGTTATTATTACATAAAAATAATATATTGTGGATTAATACTCGTCCAGTGAAGTAATTCAAAGATTTTATTTATTATGAAGAAATTATTTGTTTATTCTATTTTTCCATTCGATTAATACGACACTTTGGCAAATAAATTACACAGATAGACATTAAACATGCAACATAGATGTAGTGTATTATTTCTTATAAATTTTTCATGAATCCGAATTTGGTAGCAAGATTTTTTTATTGTCAATTTTTCAGAAACTGAAGAAGTCAAAGATATAAAAAAAAAAACGCGTTTTGACCATTTTAGGAACAATTGCAGGTGCATCTGTTTTGCTAGAGACTTTTAATAGAGATTGAATTACATAACTAGAACCTTATACTTTAAGATGATCATAAAGAAAATAATATTGCACCCACGGCTAATCGGCAATAGATTTTCGTAATGATTATCTCAAAAAGTACAAGATTCAAACATTAATTTTAATCCCTATTTAAAAGTCTCTAGCATGTCAGATTCATCTACAACATTGTTTAAAAAAAGAAAATAGTCAAAAACATATCTTTTTTAGCACTCTTGTAATTTTCTGACAAAAATGTGATACAAAAATCTCGCTGGTGGATTTGAATTTAAAAAATCTATGGAAAATGATACATGTCCCATCTGTGTTGCATGTTTGATCTCCGCATGTGTTATTTTCCAGAATAATGAACTTCCAATTTTTGTAATTATCACACTATCTTATCACGCTATAAATTAGACATAAATTGGTAATTAATATATAATGTATATAAAGAATTATGAATAATACATAACAATAGAACAATTTTTCGCGGAAATTTAATAAATATTCTAATGAAATTTTTTGTTCTTTCTTTTTGCAGATTAATATAACAAATTGACATCCATACTGTAAAAGAGATCTCTGATGCGTTTTCGATATCATCATATTACCTTGTACATAGAAAAACTTACGTACGACGCAAATAAATTATTGAAAAGGAATGTTAGAACAAATAAATTTAATGAAACTAACTAATATTTTCGAATAAATAGATTGATGTAACACATGTGCGTAAATTTACAATTTAATATATACTTACTTGCAAAGAATATGTGTGTATCATCAATACAATGATCCATATTTTTTGCGAGTGAATGTATTTATTGAATAATAATAAGCGTTATTTGCAAATATAATATTATAATCCCGAATATACATATTTCGAAATCGACTACAATTTTATTTGTTGGACAAGCACATATTGCCAGAAAGGCGTTAATCTTATCAAGGTTTATCTCACTATCAGGCCTTGCGTATGTTACGGGAACGGGAATTTGTTAGAGTATATTCGATCGTATGTACGCGCGTATATATTTAACATTTGGAGTATCTATAATTCACCAGCACTTAAAAAAGCGAATTGGAGCGTACAGATATTTTCGAAGAGGACAAAATTAGTGAAAATTATTTGTGTGACCAGCATAACAGTACGTGATTTTTACAATCATTGCCATCGTACGAGGCATAAAACATCGTGTTGCATCATACATTGATAAGTAGAAAAAACAATGTGAAATTTATAGATACTTTTAGTGAAGTGATTTACGTATGATCAATGTATATCTTAAAAGTAAAAAAATTAAAAATTGCAAATCATGTTTGTCTATTTGAATGTATGACATTCTTATCTATCTAATGTCGCAGATGTATTTATTAATTCCAAATGTAGACGACAACATAAACATTGGAACTTTCTAGTATAAATAATATATTATTTCCTCATATTTTTTAAAGATAAGATAAATATCTGAAAATTAACCAAACCGAAAAATTTCCGACTAAAGAAAATGAAAAATGAAGTTACTTCGTACATAAAAGAAAGAAAAGGTTTTTTGTTTGTAGAACGAAGCATACGCGATTTAATAAGTCAATCAATTATTTCATTAATACATTAATTATCCGTGAGGAGGTAGAAAGATAAATGGTACTCGTCACGCTGCAGTAATAAAATTAAGACTGAGCTCAGCGCTCACACCCAGTCAATATTTGACCCACAAGATTCGCGATCGTTGTCGAACGTAGGCTGTGAGATGACGAAAGAATATATATGAAAATGTGCGACTTATTTAAACAAGAACACACATGTGCGCGCGTAAATTCTTGCTTATACAACATGTTATTGCACGATTGAAACTCAAGAAACCCGCAGCAAAAGTAGTCACTTTGGATTTTCCGACGCTGATGGACTTGATTCTGTATGAAAAAAGCAGTTAAGTTTTAAAGTTAAAAATTATTGATGACCGAAACTTTTTAACACCAACAAAATTTTTTACAACTCTATAATTAGTAAATTGTAACCATTTACTCCTTGAAAATTCCATTTCAATTTGAGAAAAAGGAAAGAATTAAATATTTCTCTCTAATCTTTTCTTTTTACTCAGAAATTTAAATATGTACATAAATGTATTACATTTTTTATTAGAGCATGAATCGAAATGATTTTTCTCGCTTTGTGAATTGTAAAAAAAAGAAAAAATAAAAAAATTTTTATTTTTAATTTTTTAAATCTTTATTATATTTTATTATCTTCCTCTTTTATTAAATTTCCAAATTTTTAATCTCACATAGTTCTTAAAGTTTTTCAAATCGCATACATACATGTTGCATTATACCTGCATACCGTATGCGCCGCATCATCCTCGTTACAAGTCAGATCAAATGTCGCTCGAGCGCATTTGGACCGCGCGCGGTGAGGTGAGGGGGACAGCGGAAGGCAGAAACGATTCGAAAATCGGTGGAAAGTTACATACTACTTATGTATGTTCACTTTGAACTGGCATCTTTAATTAATTAATAATATATCAGTTACTTTTCGTGGTAATATATTATTATTATTAGATAAAAAGGTTTAAATTTTTGAGTTAAATCTTTTTTTGAACATGGCTTGAACTTTTCATTTTTATGATGATTTTTTTCGGATACATATATATACAGTGACTGACAAAAAAAAGAGACCACTATAATATTATAAGTTATTATAAGGCACGTACATATTCCTCATGAAAAAGTGAATCGACAATATTAATAGCAAAATGTTGTGACATCAACAGTTTTCAAGTGCTCACCATTTGAAAACCATTAGATGCTGATTTTGCAGCCTTGCATTTCCGTAGCTCGTTACTATGCCGAAATGTAAAACTCAGTCGTGATACCTACAACAAGATTAATTCGTTTATAAAATTTGTATAAATAATTGTCACGTTTATAATTGTTACCACTATGTTTTTTCTCTGAGTGCATTCTAATTTAGGATTAAAATATGATGTAAGAGAAACATTGTTTATTCTGACAGATCCATAAATTTGTAAATAAAAAACGGTGAAAAGATCATAAAATTTAGGCTCCTAAAATTTATTTTCTCTATCTTTCAGATAAATTCATGCCACACGTCATAACATGTCATACATGAGAAGCTGTATATAATTATTAAAAAGTATGGATTATGAGGAAATAATCTCTTTTTATGAAAAATAAGATGGGTATTAAGCCACATTATACCTTCTGCTGATGAACATTTTTTAACGACAAGCAAGTAGACGCGTACAAAGAATTCTTTTCTAATTGATAATTTAGATAGTTCGACAAGAAGCAATTATGAATTCAAAGCAAGCGGAAATATTGCTGGCAGTGTTATACACCGGATCCGTGGTATTCTCCGTCACGTCTGTTATATCTTTTGTGACCACATGGCAGAATTGGACAATGACGTTAGATGGTTGTATCGATGTCAATTGCGGCTGTATATTATATGGTATCAATACATTTCGCACGTTTCTCGGCGGTGACGAGAAACTGTGCCACTTCGCCGCGTACGCTCTCACACCCATCATAGTAATCAGCATGTGTCTTGGTGCCTATCATGGATACAGATGTTGCATACATAAAAATTTAGACGACCCTAAGCAAATTAATCGCGAACAAGTGTGCCATGACGACAGGTACTTATTTTTCTTATTTCTTATACAAATGATTAAAAACTGATTCACTCAAAGTGATGGAGTAACTAGCGAAGTGCTAGGAACTATAATCTTTATTAGCAGCTAAAGATATAGGTACTTAATTTGCTGGAAGATTATACAGTATCATTAACCGATTAAATTACCTATCAAGAACAAGTCGAGTAGACCGAACTGAGTTGAAAAGTCTTATACCATTTTGCAGTTTATGCAATATTTAACGAGATATTAGACCTTAAAGATAGCTGAATAAATGCATTCGTCCGATATTAATTTTTAATCAATTTATGTGGCTGATAACAACGTTATCATCCAATTTTACTATAAATTTTTATAAAATAAAATTTAATGTATAATAAGATATTTTACATTTATTTATAATTATTTATTTTAAGTATAAATATTCAAAACATGTTAGTAATAGATAAATATTTAAAATTTTTTTTGTATTTTGCGTACAATTCAAAATATAAATAGGTAACATATTTTTCTAATTAAATTTTTCTCATAGAAGAAACCTTAATGGATATGTTGTGGTTCATGTAAAAAAGAGAGTTGCTTTTAAGTGGTGGGTGCCTATCGGTTTCCTCGCAGCGTTTGTCTGTTGCCTGTCTCTCGCCCACGCGGTCGTAATAACCGACGGCTATTACAAAACTTGCGAACAATATAGACGAAATCTCATTCAACTCTTGGGTTCGAGAGGCCGCGAAATTTTAGTAAGATAAACATTTTTTTTCTCTTCCAATTTAACTCTCCGGAACTGATGCCAAAATCTGTAACGTTATGCTAAGTCTGTAGAATCCATTTAATTTATGTTATCTCGCACGGAATGCTAGAGATCCAGGTTCGACTCTCAGCCGAGGTAATATGTTTCGCAATAAATACATTTATTTACAGTTTTCAGTCATATTAAAATTTTTCTAATAGATACATAGAAAAAATTCGGCGTGTATGCATTCTTGCAAGAAGCCAACATTTTAAACGTATCTACATTAAGCTAGGATTTAAAAGTATCTACATTAAGGAAGTGAATAAATACAAGGTAAACCTTTACAAAAGGGGACCATCTTCCGATGACCTTGACCTTGACATATGTTGTCAAGGTCATGACCCTGAGTAACCTCTGGCAGGTATTAGCCGTCGCTCGTCCTTCGTTAAAAAGTTATTAACAATCAAAAATTTACAAATAACGTCTTATTTCTGCTATATACCATCTTAAACATTATTCTACACATTATTCTAAACATTATTCTACATTTTGACTTCCTACACGAACTCCAATTCCTCCCTCCCCCCTCCAAGGGACACACGACTTCTACGATTGTACTGTTGCTATGATAGTACTGTAGGGGCAGACCTCTGTGACGGTGTGGGTGCGGGGGGGGGGTGGCCAAAGGCCACCTCCTTGCACCCGCCCGTGTGTGTGTGTAAAATATCAAGTAATAGACTCATAATCGTTATATAACGAATGGAACACACGCACGCACGCACGCACGCACACGGGCGGGTGCAAGGAGGTGGCCTTCGGCCACCCCCCCCCCCCGCAGTGCCCCTGTGCAGGGGGGGGGGGGTGAAGGTTACTTCGCATGGAAAGTTTAACGTTTCTGAACAGGGAAAGGTGTAGAATAGTACTTGATATTATACGTATATAGCAGAAATGAAACGTATGTTTTAGAACATGATTGTTAATAACTTTCTAACGAAGGACGAGCTAAAACCTGTAGGAGGTTACTCAGGGTCATGACCTTGACAGCATATGTCAAGGTCAAGGTCATCGGAGGGTGGTCCCCTTTTGTAAAGGTTTACCAAATACAATACGAATAAGTAATAAAAAAATACAAAAACTATGTTTTGTCCTTTTTGCAATTTTCTCCAAAACGGAGCAAAAACAAACATATCTCTACAAGACTTAAATACAAATTACGTTAATTAATAGACGTTAATTACAAATTAACTTATATTTTTAATTTATCGATTTTCTACATGCTCCCGAAGTTTTAACATTTAAATTCCGGACACTTTGTATACATATAATTCACATTGAATTATTTAAGCAATAAAAATCCAGCTTCGATCGTTATAGGCATTTCATTCCTATTTCTTATTACTTAATTGTGTTCTCACGGTCCTAAGAGATTTAATATTTCATATTGTTTAATTTATGTTAATTAAAACGTATTAATTATCTAATTAAAAAATTTGTTAATGACATAATTCGTATAATATAAAAAATAAATGGAGATTAAGTATATTTTAACAAAAATAATTCAGATGTTTTTGCGAATGTAAAAAAATTAAATTAATCTTTTTTTGAGAGAGATGTATAATAATGATAACAGATAGAGAGGTCAAAAAATTGAGTAGGATGATATATCATATGATTTATCGTTTGCGTCAATTCCGGAGAATTAAATAATTTAAACGACTGATATATTCCAAAAGTAAAATAAATGTGAAGATTAGAACTCTATTTTAATCTATTGTACTTTTGTGCGTAGGCAATTCATAACAGGTTATCGTGCGGAGCGATTTTCGATTTCATGGATTATGTTCAACCAGATAAAAATCACTGGAGTCGCACTGAGATGAATACCGGGATCGCGCTTCAACTCGCAATATATACGAGCTGGTTCAATTTCGTCGCTTGGATAACCGCGTGCTCTATAAACTTCATCATGGCGAGAGAAGAAAGGCAGCGAAATTTAGAAGAAAAATTTTGCTGCTGTTGAATGACATCCTTTATAAAATTAATTAGTACTAAACTCTTAACAGTATTTTGGTAAAATATTATAATAAATAAGGATTTCCTCTGAAAAAATATAACAGAACACAGGCGTATATGATTGATGCTCATGTTAATAGGATACATTTTATTTATGTATTTTATACAGAGATAGTGTGTTCAATTATTTTCTTCATATGTGTGCCTAATATCAAAAAATTAAAGATTCATCCGCTTTGCTGTAGAAAATAATCGCGTTCCTCTCTCATATTCTATATAATCCGATTCTCTTTATACATTTTTATATATAATTTTCATTATTATATTACACATACACGTGTGTGTACAATGTACACATTAGAACTATATTTTTAATCACCCTAAGAAGTTTAAACATCCACACTGTTAAACTTATAATATGGTGTAAATGAGAGCGCATGCGTTACTTCTTTCATATTATTATCTTGTTGAAACACAATAATTATATTACTGTTATTCGTGATAAATGGTAAAGAAAAATACTGTAACCTGTTAATGCAGGCAGTGATATAATTCAAATATAACTATAATAATAAAATACATTCGTAAAACTTTCCGACACACATTTAGGATATTTTCTTTCCTGCATGTGACATACATGAAAAAGAATACGAAGAAGAAAGAACCTAATATACCATATAATAAATAAAACAATAGGTAAAAATTTAAAGAAGGAATGTATCATATCTATACTATCTACACATGTAGAATCATAAGAATTTATATAATCGAATTATACTTTTTTTAGTATTAAATTAAAAATACTTAGTATTTCTTAGCACCTCTAGTTCGTTCTATTTTATACATGGTGCACACAATGATAAAATATATTATTTTAATGGTCAGAATAACAACGATTCTTTCATATATTCAACAAATACATTGAATTACTACTTCAGCCCAAGATACAATGCGAGGGAATAGCGATAGCGATAAGTTTCAACTTATCGGAAATCGAATACACCGGAATACACATTTTTGATAGGTTGAAACTTATCGCTATCGCTATTCCCTCGCATTGTGTCTTGGGCTTTCTCGTCGAATTCATCACGTCGGTTCGCTGAAATTTAATGTTTAATTTTTTATATTTGCATAGATAACTCTAACTTTTACAATGACGGCATTAAAAATAGCTTTAAACTTTCTACAGATATACATACATTTCACCGTTATGTATAGGAACTAAACAGAAAATAATTTCTTAAATACATTATCCTTCATATATACAAATACAATTGACTCTGTTTATCTTATAATACTATCAGCTTTTACACTACATAACAGAGACTTGCAAGCTTGAACGCTACTCGATAAAGAAAGGCACCTAAATCATACAAGCTAATATTTACAAATTATGTTAACATTTTGTTTTGTGTGTGGGTGTGTGTGTGTGTGTGTGTGCACACACACACACACACACACACATGAAGTGGGGCATTGTATGTAATCGCTGCAGTCGGACACCTTGAAAACTAAGAGAGATAAACAAATTTTATGTAAAAATTGTAGATTTTTTCAAGAGAAAGAAGATGAAAGTAATGGATTTTAAAAGTTATACTAACAATAAGGCCAAGACCAACATAAATTCGTAAAAATGGAATCTTTTATTTTTTATTGTAAATTTTTGTAACTGACGTCAATACATTTTCAAAACACTGGTTATAATCCGTTTCAAGTTAAAAATTAGGGTGCAATCTACTTCAGGCTGCAAATGCTTTGAAATATTCTTTGATCAATTTGTAAAATTCTTTCTTTCTGATTAGTAAACGAAGTGTTTGGAGCGTTAAGTTTTTAAAAATAAAGGTTTCCAATTTGTCAAATTCATATCAACCTTGACTAGTTCTTATAACGCTCTCTATACAAAATTCATTTTCCACCTTCTTTTTCTTCTCCAAGAAAATATACATTTTACAAAACTTTTATATAAAATATGTTTTTTATCTCTCTCTTAAGGGGATACTGAAGTAATCAAATTGTGGGGGCATTGCAGATCAATATAAATTTCCGAATTTATCGAACGAAATAAAAAACCCTTTTACAGAATTGAAGTAGATGTCAAATTGAGTGGTGCTACAGTGGATTTTGTACTAAAATCAGAAAAAGTTAAAAACTTATACTATATTTATTCTACTTGAAGAGCTGTCAACTGACTTAAATATTTCCTCAATATAGAAGTTTTATAGCTCGAATGGACAAATTAACAGTGCAGCATCAAGCAGATTATGTAAACAAACAATACTGAGTTCATAAAACCAAAATTAAAAGCTTAAAAAGAAAGATTTATATCGATCTGCAAACGACGTGTATACGAATGCTGAAGACTCGGAATGGTAAACAAAGCAGTAACTGTATCTAGCAGTAGGTGCACGATCATACAACAAATGGCATTACGATATGTTGAATAAGGACAGATAAATGTGTTTCAGTGAGATACAACGATATATAACATAATATAAGAAAAATTAATGAAAGATTATTAAGGAGATGTTGGAGCGACGGCCGAACTTGATCGTACAGACTTTTTAATTCCAAATTCGATAATAGTGATATCTTTCATTTCTTATTATGTTATATATATAATATATCGTTGTGTCTCTCAAACGCATTCATCTGTCCTTATCTAACATATTACAACATCTCTTGTAAAATCGAGCAATTATGTTGTACATAAATCGATATCTCACGCGCTAAATAAATTTATAACTTTTTTTCGATTTTAGTATAAAGTCCACCGCAGTACCTCATAATTTTGCGTCTACTTTAATCTTGTAAAGGATCTTTGATATCGTTCAGTCAATTCGGAGATTTTTATACGACTGTATTGTCAATAATATATAGTCACTCCAGCATTCCTTTAAGTCTTTCCACTTGGGACAATTAATAGGTTCCTCCCATACCACACATACATATGCGCGCACAGGGTATCCGAAATTTAAATGTCAAAATCATTCGGAATCATGCAGGAGATCGGTAAACTGAGCAAAAAATCCTGTAGAGATATGTTTGTTTTTGCTTCGTTTTGGAGAAAATCGCAAAAAAGAGAAAACTTTTGATATTGAGATTAAAGTCCCAAAATTTATGCCTCATATTAGAATCAAAATGATCACCACCGATAACGAGTAATGTAAAAACGAAATTAGTAGCAATAATAAGCTAGCAAAACGATCACAGAGTCGAAGTCGGCAACATTTTTCAAAAATATAGTATATATTATGAGATAATGCAACACCAGAGCCAGCACAAAACACGTCCGCCCCGTTCGAGTGGTCTCAAGGTCTCTTTACGCATATGTATGCAATTCCCATTGGACGGATCAACAAATCGACTTTGTCTCACCTCCACGTAATGATTCCTGGATAATTCAAAGAAGACAAAAAATATGAATTCTAAATTTTACTGGTGTGATCCGCGGTATAGCTTCAAATTATATATTTAACCCATCAAAAAATTTAATTACGTTTCCCTGCTCTAGTGGGATCATTTTTTTATCCGACAGATTAAATGCAGCCAGATATACAGATTTTTTGGAGACTGACTTCTTTGATTATTTAGAAGACATCCACTTGCAATAACGAATTGAAAATGTAGATTCAACTTGATAGGTGTACAGCTCATTATGACAGAACTACCGAGCTTGGCTAGACAGACATTATCCACGACGATGAATTGGACGTGGAGTAATATCTTGACCACCCCAATCATCTGATCTAATACTACTGGACTTCTTCGTGTTAGGATTCCTGAATCGAGGCTTGTGAGTGTATCAAATATAGCCAGATCAGTGTTTAACTGTAACACGAACTGTCTGTGTTAGATGCAATGCTTACATTGCTGCAAAAGGTCAACATTTTGAACAATGATAATTTTGACAATACTTCCATTTAGTGACGCAAGTCATCATAAACATCATTCTATCTTTTTTGGCATTCAATGAATAACAAAGACGGAACGATACTTGTGTCGATTTATGTTATCAACTGAAAAGCACTCAATATCAACATTAAGCACGTAAATAAAATATGAATAAGTAATAAAAAAAGTACAAAAATGAAAACGTGTCTTTTTTGCAATTTTCTTCAAAACGAAGCAAAAGCAAGCATATCTCGCTATGCCTTTTTTTCTTAGTTTATTGATTCCCTACACGCTCCTGCAGTTTTGATATTTAAATTCTGGATATATTGTATATGTTATTACGAGTGCAGTCGAGTTGCCACTACGACAATCGGAAAATTCCGTCCGTTTTTTTTTTGCAAAAAGTATAATTTTATTTAAAAAACAAAACGAAAAAGTACATCAATCAAAATATTGTCCATCATTAGTAATGACTTTTTCCCATCTTTCGGATAGCAAGCGAATTCCGCGGCGAAAGAATTCATCCTTGGCAGTTATCCAGTCAGAGACCCATTTTCCGACGTTTTCATAAGAATTGAAGCGTTTCTCAGCAAGTGCGTGTATCAACAACCGACCGAAACAAGTGGTAGTGGGAAGGGGCACAGTCTGGTGAATAAGTCGCATAGGAGCGAAGTGCTTCCAATGTTTCCTTAATAGCCTAGTGACGTGAGGTCGAGTGTTGTCATTAAGCAAAATCACTATCTTGTCTCATATTCTGGTCGTTTTTCGCGCAATATTCGATTCAAACGGATTATTTGTTCTCGGTAGTGATCCCCTGTGACTGTTTGACCAGCAGGGTTGCCACAAATTTTTCATCCTAAAATTTCCTGATATTTTCCTGATTTTACTGACAAAATTTTGTAATTTTCCCTGACTTTCAATAATAAATATTTTGAAATATTTTTTGTATTTTCATCCTGATTTGAAAATTGTTAAATATTTTGTTGATCGAGTAATTTAACATAACAGTGTAATTAAATTAATGTTATAATATAATACTACTGATACTAATAATAAATAATACTATTAATGTTGCTGATACTACATTTTATCGTTAAGTTAATAGTACTTTTTGTC